CCCCCCCCCCCATCGACTTCACAAATATATATATATATATACATGGCGAGGCGAGAATTATTCATACCTTCATAAGTCACATCCACGTGCCGCATATCGAGGAGTAAGTTAAGCAACTCCATTTGTTCTGCTACTGTGTAAACCTCCAGATCAGGTTCTTCCGGTCCCGTAGTCGTGGCGAGTTCCATGGGCTCGGTACGAATAATATGGGAGGTCCGACAGTACAGTGAGGCTCCACGTGTGCAACCGGTTTGTCTGCACACCACAATGGCGGACAAATTGGCCAGAAAGAGAGCCACTTGTTTGGACAAGGAAATACGATGGGAACGCCTATCGGGAGTGTGAAGAAGGGTAACAGAGATAGCGAATGTGGAACAATTTTCGGACGTGAAGTGTAGGAAAACATGGAAAACCGAACGCGTTCAAACTATTTTTGCACCCAAGTGATCAAGATCAGAGATGAACCAAGTATGTTCTTCATTCAAGTAGGTATCATATCCTTGATCGATAGCTATCGGGAGTTTGTGTCCATTGAGCAGCAGCATTCACATCCCAAGCTATGTGATACATTTTGGACAATAATAACCGCTCAAGTATTTAGTATTTGCCGTATGTGAGGATGAAGAGGACAATCCCAAAGAGTGGGAGAAAAACAAAGAACCTGAACCCCACATTCGCGAGGACACTTGCTCAGTTTTGACAATTGGTAACCCAAGACCCGCAATTTGGAGTGACGAAAAACATTGAGTGAAGGTAAAGGTCAAGCAGTCTAAGTCGTTTCTTTGGGGTCCTATAGCCCAAGATTCGAGCCCCACAATCACTACCCGACTTTTTTGGCAGACAACTTCGTCGCCGTCCCGCTCAATACCAACCATATGTCAATGAGGCCTTCTGTGGTTCGCCACTTCAAGTCCTGGAGCTAAGTTACTGGTTTCCCGGTCCTCACGACTCTGAGGTTTACGCCTTTTTGCTGGTCATCACATAACAATGTGCAATATTGATACTAAAAGGATAGATATGATACAGAGCTGAACCGCATAAAAGTTGTCTACCATCACAATCTGACGGAAGTAGTAGATAAGGCCAATACGCTCCACTGATAGTGGCTTGTCCGTTGTGCCTATTAATTCGATGGGCATGTTTGGACAACATGAACTTGAGACTGACGATGCAATCTGAAAAGTACTAGATGGCAAATTAAACAATTTTCTGGTCACATCTTTTAGCTATAAAAAGTTAAAGATTTAAATGTATGAGCATGGCACATGTATATCAAACGATACGGGTACAACGTACACAGAGTAAAACAATTCCTGTTCCCTCAAGGTCACACGAATCATTATTATCATCACCATTGTGCAGCGAACTTAGCTGATCACTGCCAAGCTCATAATGTACACAAATGAAGTGATCAAGTACCAGGTGAAGAGGGATTGGGCCTATTTGGAGGGAGGCAAAGGGAGTAAACTGTGGTCGACACAGAGTACACAACCTAAATGTGCACACACACTGTTTCAAGCAATCAGGCCTGATAAGAAATGATAACAAAAGTGCCACTGGTGTCGGTTCGCTGCCGTATCCTTCAGTGTAATTAATCAACCATTTGTAGAGTATTTTGGACCCCAACCTGGACACCTACTCTACCTAATGGCTGGATGTATTTCTTCATGCCTCGTTTCTATGTCATCTCTTGACCTCCACGTGATTTCCTGCGACACGGAGAAGCGATTGCGAATAAGGTGCGATGAGGTGGGTGATGGCCGGGCATGCGCAATACGTGTCCAAACCAGCGAAATCTACTAATCTGAATCCAACGGGACAACGAATTCTCTACGACGACTTACCTCACAGTTGCTTACATGCTCGCTCCATTCAACCCGCGCCTACGTACAGATAACGAATATCTTCCACGCGCAAATTTAGGGTCTCGCGACCGTTAGACAAAACTGACCGCACACTGAGATCAACGAGTTCGGTTAAATAATGACCATGAGCATTGAAGTCTGGACAGTACTTACTTGATCAAATCTCGCAGTAATTTTCTAGCCACAGAAAGCATAAATCTCGAATTCGGACGCATCATGGCGGGGATGTGGGTGAAACAGCGAAGCGATCGACCAATCTCGTGCACATCGGAAATCAGACTGGAATGCACAAGTGGACCGATCACATGAGCAAACTGATCGGCTGAGATGGGGGGTCTGGGAGTGGCCACCGAACACCACAATGTCAGTGTGCAAACCAGCTCCAATACGGGATCACACAGACAGGACCAAACAGTAGTGGAGAAATGGTCGGCTTGTGTGAACAACTAGGACGTGGAATGTGTCGGGTAGATGAGATGAGGATCATATCAGGGCTTTATGAATAATAGGATTACAACTTTTACCATGACATTTCACACTTATCTGAGTTCAGGTTGTGCCAAGAAACCAGGGTATATGTACTTTAATGAACAAACAATGATAGCATCAGCTTCCATGATTTAAATGTCATGTTGTGCAAGGTGTAAGCAAAGAACTGCTGATAGATACGCACCTGCTAAGTAAGACTAAAACCAAGAGAGTATACGTCACATAAGTTAATTCAATACGTCCTACAAAGTTCTTTGATCTTCATTACGTCTCAGTGATACTGTGCAGATAGCCAACTGTGTCTCCATTCGTTACCGACGGGTCCAAATGAACTGACCAACTATCCCTGAAGACAATACCGGAACAAGCATGAATTGGCAATTCGGTTCAGCCCGGACATGAGCTGGTTGGTACAGTGGTAACACACATGTCTTCCATACGATTGGTCTGGAGTTCAACTCTCGGACGGGACGGTGGACACGCGATACTGATGAGCTCTAAGAAGAACGAAACTCGAGCCCAGTGCTTCCGAGTGTATGGTTGACTGGATGAAGTGAGGACTGTGCGTGAAGGTCACGTTCGAAGGATGATAGATTCAAATTACTAACAATTATCCCACACCACTACTCACAAGTAACTGAGGTAAATGCGGACCATATTTGTTGCATCTCAGAAAAATATCCTGTAGTGAATGCAACCTCGGTTATTTTACACCAGTCAGCTTCGCAGGAATCCACTAACCGCCAACAAACGATTGTCACATCACCGCTTTTAACTTCTCTGCAGTCTGAGTAAGTTCTTACAGGTAAAATCAACAGACTATTTTCGTCCGGCGGTTTTATCTGTGTGTAGACATGACAAAGACCCAAATATATCAAGACGTTAGGGATCAGGATTGCAAAGACTCACACCAAATTTCATGATCCAATTGAACAAAGACATTGAAAGTGTTTCGCCCAACACATCATCATCGGATAATTCTAGGAGGAAGAAGAGGAGAAAGGGAGAGAAAAAAAGTGAAACAATGATTGAATAAAGCGAATCGATGAGACGGATGAAATAATAAATAAAATAAATAGGTATTTTAAAAACCATAATCGGAAAACTCAGGCGTGGAACAAGAACACAAAATTGCCGGTCTGAACCTAACAACAATGGCAGCGATTCGAACACGGATGCGCATCACAGAAGAAATATTCGTTTGTGGCTTGGTCACAAAGATGTCGTATACCTCGATTAATTTGTGCGCGTTGTTGTCTATCCCAGATCTTTGTACACAGTGGAAGAACTCAAGTGTACTCTTACGAGGACCGAGAGTCTAATAGTGGTTGGAAGAGGTTAAGGGTGGTCAAATGAAGACCTGACATGAGGGTACGAAAACCCTAACCAGGAGACTAGGTAACATAGGCCCCAATAGGCTCCCTGGCTGGGGACCCTGAGATCATGATCATCGATGGTTGGATACACTGATTGATATGGCTGGGTGTCGTAAACAGCAGCGCTCGTGCATCCACTCATTATTTTCTACATTAATTCTCCACCTTCCGCTTTAATTTGCTCTGAACATTCCAATCTTCATCTTGCTCTTTTATTCAAATGGGGCATCAAGAGACAGAAACCAAAACCGGCGCACGAAAGTGCATGGCTAACGGTTGTAAGAACTGACTGAACTAAATGCGAACCAGTAACCTAATTAATGCATGAGACCTGGGTTTGATGAACTGCATGAAGCCCCAACAGTTGACAAAACTGCCTCCGAAAGCCTCACTTCCAGGAATCCGGTTATAGGCTCCCACTAGAAAAGTTTTCTAGTAAACCATTAGTCTATGAGAGGAAAAAAAGGGATTTCAGTATTCGATTTTAGTCACAGAGGATAAAAAAACCCACTTAGGTTCTCTCTGTACTCACCGGATAGAATGGCAACCGAATGTGTCAACAAACG